CAAATCTAGAATGTGAAATGAAGAACAGAAAGCATTATTTTTAAAAAACTCTACATGCTAGGGAGAAAGATGGAACACAAAAAGGTGGTCAAGGAAATTCCCTGGGAAGGTGTCGTATGTGTGGAAAATAGAAAGAAAGGGAATGTGCTTTGTGGATGTCTGGAGCTAGAAGCTTCCAGGCGAGGAGAAAAAGCCCATGAATGGGGTGTATATTTGTTTGTTTGAGGACAGCAGGTTCAGAGAGGTTCTACTATGACCCTAGGATGTAACCTAGGCAATAATATCACAATTAGTATCTAGTAAACTCCATAGCTAAGAACAAGGTCACTGGGATCAGAGTGTCTGTGTCTATGTTGTGTGTCTACCTTTGGCAAGTCATTTAACCTTCTGGCTTTAGGTTTCCTCTCTAGCAAGGGAGTAATTATCCTCTAGAGTTGTTAGGGGAACTATATGTGTTAATAAATATTAAAGTGCTAGCATACAGTAATCACCAAAGAACTCTTATTTTTAAATTACTGAGAAACATGGAATGGAGTCTCTTGTTCCTCAACCTCCAGGTTCCAAGACTATAGCCCAATCATTATTATTGTATTTAACATTTGTGTCAATCTTATAGATGTTTTCTATTCCGGAAATATGCCTTTGCTGTTCTCTTGTTTTATATTTAGGTTCCTTTTGGATAGAGTTAGGATTTTGTTTCCTTCCAAACTTTAGGAATCTTACTTAAGAGCTTTGCTATCTCTTGAACATCAGTGAACTATACAAACAAACATTTTCAAGATTGATGAGTCATAAAATTCAAAGAAGAATTTTAAAATTCAAGAAAAAATAGTTTTGATGTTTTCTTTTTGAAAATTTTTGACAGTTGGGTTAAAGATTTTATCTAGTTGAACATGCCTGGAATTTGGCATTCAAATAAAATGCAGATTTCATTGCCTTTAATAGTGTTTTTTTTTGTATTTAGACTATGCATTTGCTTCTTGATTTCCCATGCATTTTCCTATGCAAGTGGGTCAACAACACAGAGATGTGGGTTTTATTTCCTCTATTTTGAAGATGTAGAAACTAAGGTTTATAAAGAGTAATTTAAAATATAATTAAGAGGTTAAATGTTGAATAGAGTTCAATCTTTGGCATCATAAGTCCAACATATATTCCTTATTGCTATAGTATGCGTATTTGTGTTCTCTGGAAAATCATATGTTGAAATCCTAGCTCCCAAAAGGGATGGTATTAGAAGGTGGGGCATTTGGGAACTACTTAAGTCCCGAAGGTGGAGCCCTTATGAATGATTTAGTACCTTATTGAAGTGCCTCCTGAGAAGTCCCCAGTCCCTTTCACTATGTGAGAATACAAGAAGCATGGGACGGAAAAGAGGACTTGCACCTGACTAGGTAGGTGCCCTGATCTTGGACATCTAGCCTCCAGAACTATGAGAAATCACCTTTTTATATTTATAAGCTACTTGGTCCCTGGTATTATGTTATAGCAGCCTGAATGGACTAAGATAACCACCAAAAACATAAACCTAATTAGTTTTTTGTTTGTTTTGTTTAAGATTTTATTTGTTTATTCATGAGAGACGCAGAGAGACAGAGAGAGACGCAGAGACGTAGGCAGAGGGAGAAACAGGATCCATGCAGGGATCCTGATGTGGGACTCGATCTCGGGTCTCCAGGATCACACCCTGGGCTGAAGGCGGCACTAAACCGCTGAGCCACCCGGGCTGTCCAAACTTTTTTAGTTTTGCATGCACCCAACCTACCACAGGGTCCAAACTCATGGCTTCAGCTCATAGTATTTATTGTATTTACATAACACATAATACACGATTGGGTTTCTATTTTATAACTATAGTAGTGATTATCTCTTCCAATATGAGTATAAACTACTTGATAACAAAATTTGAAAAAAATATATGGTTTATAAAATGGGTCTGGACATATAGAAATTGCTTGAAAAATCTCAGATAAATAAATTAACAATATCTGCACTTGGAAAGATTATAGGATTTAGAGCCACACATATTTAGATTAAAATCTGCTGTTTGACATTTCTTAGATCTAGATCCTGGGGAATGGTACTGAGCTTTTATTATCTTCATCAATTTAAGGAGGCTAATAATCTCTTTCTTTCACGTTCATTATATGGACTGAATGTGTAGGGGAGCAAAAGTAATTTTCCCTCTCTCCTTCTGAGTTCTTAACTGAGACCCCTGTAGTAATAAACAGATGAACAACAGAAAAACAAAAAGAAGTTTATTATCATGTACACTTCGTGTATACACAGGAGATATGCAGAGAAAAATGATTCCTCCAAGTGGTTTCGAATTCAGGCCTAAATGCCATTTTAACAGGGAAAGTGGAGGAAGGAGCAGGCCTCTTACGGGTGTAGGAAGTTTGTCTGGGTGTGTTGTCAACTTCTAGTCTCTTCTCCTGTAATAAGGATCAATCTTCCCTAGTTGCTGAAACTCTCAGGAGGGAGTTAAGACAACCGAATGTCTTTTGGAGAATCTGTCTTTAGACAGAGAGAGTTCAGAGAAAGCCTTCAACAGGCTCTTACGAAAATCCAGGAATTAACTGAAAACTCATATATTACAGATGATTATTTTATACCACTGACTGCACTTAAACATTATAACAAATTTAATTACATATCTTAATACAAAAAATATCTCAAGTTACATGAAGTTTCCTCAAGTTACCTTCCAGACACTGCTGGAGAAGACTGCATCGTACAGGATGCTCCTCTTGTGTAACACAAAACTGAGTTTGTAAACTCAGTCTCCTTGTCCTGTCACTGCTTTCAGCAGAAACACCTGGGCTCTTACTAGGATTGTTGGACCCTGGCTCACGGGTGCCAACGTGGCCCGTGGAAGCCCCAGAGACCCAGACCCCAGACAGGCAGATGCAATTAGGTTGCATCCAGGTTGATTTCGGGGAGGGTCAACATGAACCTATTCAGGGACATTCCAGTCAGGGTGTGGGGGGGGGGACGGTTTTCTTATTGTAAACAGAATGCTTTTAGTTGCTAAAATTTCAGGAAGAAGACTGGATGGGCTGCCTCTGGATTAGGGCTGGCCCTACTTACAAGGGGGGAGGTTTCTTCATTCCCTCCTCTTGTTTGGGCTGATTTTAACCTTAAAATCTTAGGGAACATTTATTTCTTCAGTTTGGAGGGCCCGACATTGCTGAGTTAATACCAGAGCTTGGGTAATAGACAATCTTTCTCGGATGAACTGGAGCAGCCGGTTGAGGACGCAGGGGCCGAAAGTTAGCAGCAGGAGCAGGACAACTAGAGGGCCCATAATGGTAGAGATTAGGGTGGTCAACCAGGGAGACTGATTAAACCAGCTTTCAAACCAGCCCTGCTGGGCCTCCCGGTCCCTTTGTCTTTTATTTAACCTTTCCCTGAGTTTGGCCATGGAGTCTCTGATGACTCCAGAATGGTCTGCATAGAAACAGCCTTCCTCTCCCAGGGCCGCACACAGTCCTCCCTCTTTCAGGACTAGTCAATCCAAGCCTCTCCTGTTGTGAAGTGCTACTTCTGAGAGTGAGGTGAGGGACTGTTCTAGCTTAGAGACGGACTGCGCTAGTGTCCGTAGATCCTCATCTACAGCTGTTTGGAGTTCTAGATAACGTCGTGAGCCCTGGATCGGAGCAGCTGCGCCAGTACCCACCCCAGCAGCGACCCCTAGTCCCAACATAACGGCTAAGGTTAGGGAGACAGGTTCGCGCCGAAAACGGGTGGGATGTTTATCATACTGATTTTCTAGAGTTTCAGCAGGTGATAGAACACCCTGGGTATGATCTGCACCATGACACAGAAGTCGTTTGAGCTATTTAGAACCTTAGCCGACACACAGGGGGTGAGGCCTTTGTTGCATGCCCACCAAGTTCCCGGCTGGGGCTCCAGGTAAGAATCAGTCCCCAAAATCGGGGTGGTAGTGTTGCAGAGTCTCTGGTAGCCCCGGGGGGGGGTGTTCCTATGCAGGTTCCCTGTCCTGTAACTTCTGTAAGGGTGAGTTGTGGTTGGGAGTCGGGTGTGCATCCCTGAGTGCTAGTGATGTTATTATAGGTCCCTGAAGTAGCAATTCCCTCATAATAAGGGGGGGTGGTGCAAGGCAGAGCCAGCAGGATTTAGTTACATCGGGGCTGGTTCGATTAAGGGCCAGGAATGCCCCTATGATAAGATTAAACAGTCGTTGTCCCGGCTCGGGTGACGACCCAGGGGTTGGAGTGACCGCGAAGTTAGTGGGTGCGGCGCTCCCTGCGGCTAGGGCCGGGGCAGCTCTTTGTTCCCCGAGGACCGCGTTAGGCCCGATCGCCACGGGGTCTGGGGATTCTATTTTTAGTTTAATTCTGAATATAAAACCATCATCTGTTCTTTCTTTGTATAACCTGAGTCCCCACGTATATCCATTGGCCCAGTGAGTAGCCCTTTTTCCGGGCTCCGTGAAGGATATCCGTAGGGGATGACACCACCCTTGGCAGGGCCCATAATTAAGGGTTTTCCATTTGCTAAATGTCGGGGGAGTATAGTTAGCCTTGACAGTGATATAATCCCAGGAGGAGGAGGGCCTCCATTCTGTATCCCCCGTAGTTTCGCACCCCCAATTTTTACAATAGAAGTATTCCCCTCCTCCACAGGTGGGATTTAGCCTGCGATCTCTGTGGTGCCCGGGACAGACATAAAAGGGAAGAGTGCTTGGCATGGCCCTTCTGTCAGGCGTGCCACATCCTCCCCATGGGTCTAATCCCAGTCGCCCTGGAGGGCTTTCTTGGTTAGGGGCTCTAGAGGTGTCGAAGTATCCCTCTAGGTCCCATGGGCTAGGGGCCCCTATGGTTAGCTTGCATAGGTCAGGATATAGGTCAGGCCACCAGGTTCCCACGGGGGCGGTCTTAGTTATAGACCAGACCTCGTCACCCCCAGACGTTAGTACCTGCCAGGTTAACCTTTTGAGGGCATGAGGGTCACCTTTGGCGGAGGTGAAGAGCGCTAGGAGAGGTAGGAATATAACAACTGTCATTGAACAATTTTTGAAAGTCTTATCTTGAGCGGGTTTTGGGTGCGGTGGAGCTTCCATTGGAGCGGCTCGTCCTGTCCGTCCTGGCTGGCGTCAGCGGTGCTCGTTGATGGGGCGCGCTGGACGTGTGAGGCGTGGACCCAAGCAGCAATGCCGTCTACCTTTAAGGCGGTTGGGGTGGTCAGTAGGACAGTATATGGGCCCTTCCAGCGGGGCTCAAGCGTCCTGGACTGATGTCTCCTGACGTAGACGGAGTCCCCGATCTGGAACGGGTGTGGGCCGGTTGTGTCTCCGGGGCGGTAGACAGCCGCAAGGGGTTTCCAGATCTGGTGCTGGATAATCTGGAGCGCCTTTAGCCTGTCCTGTAAACCGGGAGTGTGAGCAAGAGGGTCAAGATCAGAATCTAGTAAGTCCGTTACTGGCGGGGGACCTCCATAGAGAATCTCGTAAGGAGTTAGCCCATGGCGCGCGGGAGTGTTCTGGACTCGGAACAGAACCATAGGGAGGAGTTGGACCCAGTCTCTAGTGCCAGTCTCCAATGTCAATTTAGTTAGGGTCTCTTTAATTGTTCTATTCATTCTTTCTACCTGACCTGAGCTCTGGGGTCTGTATGCACAATGTAATTTCCAATTTATCCCCAGTAATCTGGCCACCAACTGATTTACCTGGGAGACGAAGGCGGGGCCGTTGTCCGACCCTATTACCTTGGGCAGTCCAAACCGCGGGAAAATTTCTTCCAGGATTTTCTTGACAACCACCTGGGCGGTTTCTTGCTTGGTGGGGAAAGCTTCTGTCCAGCCATTTCGTAGAAAGCTACTCCCATCGGTGTACCAGGTTGCTTCAGCATCTGGCAAAGGCTGGTCCGTCAAGTCCCCTCTGGTGCCATGGACTTCAGCTAGGATCTGGTGGCAATCATGCATTACTAGGGAGGGGGACTCGGTTTCTGGAAGCAAGGTGGCCGGGTTTAGAGATGTAGCCGTTCCAAACTGTATCCGCTCAGAATTCAGTAACATGGCCTGATAATGGGTGACCCGGGCGTTTGAGAGCCATCGATCAGGGGGCTGGCGGATGACTGTCTCTACGGCGTGGGGGGCCACCACAGTGAGGGGTTGGCCAAAAGTCAACTTGTCTGAGTCTTTTACCAGGACTGCCACAGCCGCTATTATCCGGAGACATGGGGGCCATCCTGCAGCCACGCTGTCTAATTTTTTTGAAAAGTATGCCACGGGCCTTTTCCAGGGTCCCAGTTTTTGAGTTAGGACCCCTTTGGCTATTCCATTATGTTCATCAACATATAGCGTAAAAGGCTTGGTTACATTGTCAAAAGCCAATTGCTGCTCCTTTCCCCAGTGGTAGGGGGTGTTGGATTTCGTGAGAGGATATAGGGGAGCCGCCATCTCCGCAAACCCGGGTATCCAGAGGCGGCAGAACCCAGCACTGTCGAGGAACTCTCCTAGTCCTTTGGCATTAGTGGGTGCTGGGATCAGGGCTACAGCCTTTTTGCGGCTCTCCGTCAGCCACCTCTGGCCTCCTTCCAGGAGATATCCCAGATAGGTCACTTGTCTCTGGCCTACTTGGGCCTTTTTGGCGGAGGCCCTATACCCCAGTTCTCCCAGTCTCTCAAGCAGGGCCCCCGTACCTTTTACACAATCCTGTTCTGTCCTAGCCGCCAGGAGCAAATCATCCACGTACTGCAGAAGGACGAGGTCCGGATGGCCAACTCGGAAATCTGCCAAATCCCGATGCAAGGCCTCATCGAACAAAGTAGGGGAGTTTTTGAATCCCTGTGGCAGCCTTTTCCAAGTGAGTTGTCCTGAGAATCCCGTCTCAGGATCTTTCCATTCAAAAGCAAAAATAGGCTGGCTTTGAGAGCTTAACCTCAGGCAGAAGAATGCATCTTTTAGATCTAACACCGTATACCAGACATGGCTTGGGGGTAAGGTGCTGAGCAAGTTGTAGGGATTCGGCACCGTGGGATGTCTGTCCTCTGTCCTCCAGTTAACCTCTCGTAAATCTTGTACCGGCCGGTAATCTCCTGTGCCGGGTTTTTTTACGGGTAATAGAGGAGTATTCCAGGGCGACTGGCAAGGTATTAAAATGCCCAATTGTAATAGTCTCTGTATATGGGGCCAAATGCCTTCTTTGGCCTCTTTGCTCATTGAATATTGCCAGATCGATATGGGGGTGGCCGAGGGTTTTAAATTTATAATTACGGGCGGCTGGTTTACAGCTAGTCCCATTCCGGCCGTTTCCACCCAGGCCTGAGGGTAGTTAGTGAGCCATTCAGAATCCAGGGGCTGCACGGACGGTGGAGAGTCCTCGTGCAGCCGGTGCTCATCCTCTAGGCGCAAGGTCAGTACCTGGAGGGGCTGCCCTCCCACGCCAGTAATAGTGGCCCCTTTTTGCTGAAAAGGTATCTGGGCCCCTACTTTTGAAAGAAGGTCTCTGCCTAGGAGAGGGTAAGGGCAGTCTGGGACCAGTAAGCAGGAATGCGTTACTTGCCCAGTGCTCAGGTGGACCTTCCGTTCGGTTGTCCATCGATATAACTTGCCTCCAGTTGCCCCCTGAACCCAAGACGTTTTAGAGCTCAAGGGTCCTTTTGCCTCAGTTAAAACTGAATGTGGAGCTCCCGTATCGACCAGGAAGGTCACCGGCTGTCCCCCCACTTTAAGCCTCGGTTATCCGAGGCTCAGGGGGGGTTCCTGGCCCTGACACCCCTAGCCCAAACAGGAATGGGCTTCTTTTTAGGTCCCTGCGTTTGGCCCTTCCTTGGGCAATCTTTAACCCAATGTCCTTTTTCCTTGCAGTAGGCACCCTGGTCTCGTTCAACCCGTGGTCCTCTTTTGTCTCCCAGGTCCCTACTCTGTCCTGACTTACTCTGCCCTGAGCCCTGTACTACGGTGGCCAGTATAGCCTTCTATTAACCTCTGCAGAAAACCTGCCGGCGTCTCCTCTTTTCCCTGCACTATAGCACGTACCTTTGCCAAATTGGTGGGGCAACGCCCTGCCCCTTTGAGACCCGCTAGGAGTACCTGGCGATAGAGACGGAGCCGCTCCCTCCCAGCAACAGTGTCGTAGTCCCAGGTCGGGCGAACCAAGGGGAAAACATCCTCAATCTCATTAGGCAGCCGGGTCGGCCTCCCATCCGCCCCCGGGACGTTTTTCCAGCTTCGAGGTAGACGCGCTGTCTCTCCTCCGTGGTGAGGGGAGTCTGCAGGCGCTGTTGGCGGTCATCCCAGTTCGGCTGATCGAGGTGTCCATTGGGTCCTGGCTGGAAGACCAGGGCCTTCACCTGCAAGATGATGTCAATATTAAAAGCTCCGTTCCTGGGCCACCCGTTGAAAGCGGCCACTCCGAGGAGCAGAAGGTGACCCATCTTCGTCTTCTGACTTCGACCGAGAGATTGTGTGCCCGGCCGGCGACTTCTTTCCAGTGATCTAGAGTGAGGCTTAAAGGGGTGGTTACAGTCTGCCCCATGGGTGTAGAGAAGGGGTGAGCGGTGAGGAGGAGGACAGGAAAGGAAGAGAAACACGGAACGAACAGACGCACACGAACGACAGGACTGGCGCGGCAGATTCAGATGGGAGCGGTCGCGAACACGACCCTCCCCGAAGAGGAGGGAGTGCCGGGGCTCTGTTCCTCTTCCAGACCACTCCGGAGTCCGACTCCGGAGGGGGACCAGGGGTCTCGGGCACGTCTGCCTCCCCCGCTGGTCCAAATACAGAATACAGAGTACAGCGTCCTGCAGGCACAATACAGACCCGGCACAAAACAGACCCGGCCAGTCAGACAAACGGACGAGACAGATATGACATTTAGCGAGCTCGGTCTTACCTCCTGCCGGTCTTAGGATTGAGTCTGGGGCGTCTCAGATCCCGGACGAGCCCCCAAATGTTGGACCCTGGCTCACGGGTGCCAACGTGGCCCGGTGGACGCCCCAGAGACTCAGACCCCAGACAGGCAGATGCAATCAGCAAGAGGGTTTATTGAACGTTTGCGCAAACGGGCTCTCCGCCTCCGAGGAGGAAAAGAGCCCCGATTAGCAATTACAGGGATCTTTTAAAAGGCAAAAGGAAAGAAACCTCCTAAAGGCAAAAGAACCGCGGGAGTCGCATGGCATCCAGGTTGATTTCGGGGAGGGTCAACATGAACCTATTCAGGGACATTCCAATCAGGGTGTGTGGGGGGGAAATGGTTTTCTTATTGTAAACAGAATGCTTTTAGTTGCTAAAATTTCAGGAAGAAGACTGGATGGGCTGCCTCTGGATTAGGGCTGGCCCTACTTACAAGGGGGGGAGGTTTCTTCAGGATTACTGCTTTCATCTCCTACTTGATATTGCTGCCTTTTTTTTCTTAATCCCATCAATCTGTCATTCAATTTTTTTTAAGATTTTATTTATTTATTTATTTATTTATTTATTTATTTATTTATTTATTCATGAGAGACACACAGAGAGAGGCAGAGAGAGAAGCAGGCTCCATGCCAGGAGCCCGATGTGGGACTCGATCCTAGGGCTCCAGGATCACACCCTGGGCCAAAGGCAGGTGCTCAACCGCTGAGCCACCCAGGTGTTCCTGTCATTCAAATTTCTAATTATATACTTTCTCTTTCAAGTAAGCAATTTTCTTTTATTTTGGATGATTTTTTAAATATTAAAAAAATAGTTCAAGGAGGAAAAACGTTAAATGTTCATATCCTTATCTTCCAGAATCAACTGCCTTTACTATTTTGACACTTCTGTCTTCAGAGAATTTTTTAGATGTGTGATTTTGAAAAGAAATCATAGTAATAGTTATTAGTTATTAGAGTAGTAAATAATTTCCATTGGAAATCAAAGAACTATCAGGTCAATTTAAATCTCTTCTTTGACATTTACAGGCCCTTTGTCATTCCTTCACCCAAGCATTTCCGCAGAAAAAGTAAGAGGAGGAAGTTATTCAAATCCCTTAACCAGAATAAAGTTCTCATACTGGCTCAGGACCTATAGTTTTATGCAGTGGTGTACTATGAAACCATATCCCTGAATCCTACCTCAGGTCTAAAAACTTGTTGCATTTTTCCATTCCGGAGTACACACAGATCTGAGCAGTTCTACCTATCTTTTTTGCTCCTAAAAATCTGGCTCAGTTTAAGACTGTTTAAAAAATATTACAGCGTCTGAGATGCCTTCCTCTATTCATCAAGTAGAGATGATTATTTTTGTGTCATACTCACCTTTGATGATACCTCCATCACAGAACCTACCACACCTCTCTGGTGCTACTAATGTTTGTGTAATCTTTGCTGCTGGTCTCTGAAGGGCTTGAGAGCAGAGTCTATTTCATCTTCATGTTTGCAGTTTCTGAATCAGACATGCTACAACTCCCTAGCCTGGGACCAATAAATCTTTGTTTTAGATAAAAGTAGAGGAAATAGTGATAATGGGTATGAAAGGATGGGAGCAAGACAGAAACTCCAACTTAGTATTAATTTACTCAAATTTAATCAAATGTTTCAGATGAAATAGTAGAAATAAGATATACAGTGTGGATTGAAAAGCTCAGAATATATTCATAGATGGCAACTATTTAAAGAATTCAGTAGCTTTCCTGGGATACAACACTTGTTTAAAAAATTAAGTCTTTCGTACTAGAAAAATGGTCTGCTTGAGTGAGTGACAATTGTTCTTAGAGAAAATATTAGAATACAAAAATATCGAATGAAGATGCACGCACAACTCTTAAAATTTAAATTTGCTCTAAAAATGAGAAAAAAATTAGTAAGCTATGTCTTATAACGGATTGTTTTATAATCAATACCTCTAAAATGAAGCCTTAAAATCTAGATGGATTAATGCAGAGTATTTTTTGCTTGCTTTGAGTGTCATGTAACTCCAGTTGATCTCTCAATTTCTGGACTCCAAAATAAAATACATCGGTAGAAAACTTATTGATGATTAATTTATATTTATTGGTTAATCTAGTAGTTTCAAAGTAATGATATTTTGGGTATTGTTTTAAATTGGAAACAGCAAGGTAATTTGGCAGTTATTAGTGATTATTTCCAATATTGTACAAAATCTAGTTGCATAAATATATTACTAACGTATCCAAATTATAGTGTTATTTGTTATTTCAAAATGAAAGCTCTGAGCCATTAATTAGCTGATGCTTTTAGATCAATTAGATCAAATGATGAAAGAAAGAGAAGAGTAGATTTGCACCAACCAATTATAGCAGGAAATCTGATTTAGAATATAAACACATACCTATGTGGAAATGCTGATTCCTTCTGGATTTATGGAGTCTACCTCAAAAAC